TGGCCCAGGATCGAACATTGTTTCGTTCTGCTGTGCATGGAGTCGCTATGAGTCGGTTCCGACTCGATGGCACCTGACAACAACATATTACTTGTGAAGAAATCACAGTAAGGGTAGTGGCTCTCACTTGAGGGCTTCATGCTCTTGGGTTGTAGGAGAACCACCTCCGGTTCACCAGGTTGATAATTCCATGCTGCCGAAAGAGAGGGAGGGATGGGGTGAGAAGACCACTGCAGACGAGATGGAACAGGAGAGGGTGGGAGTGGACAAAGGACACTTGTCCACACAGAGAAGGACCTGGAGACCATACTCATGTCTCCTAACTTTGTCTCATGGCCTGGCAATGGACCAAAGGTGAAGAAAGACTGATTAACTTGGATGACCAAAGACTAACTGGGGATGTTCAATTGAGTGGCCACCACATTCCAATGTTCTTATTTGAGGTAAAAGGAATTCAGTGCCAAAGAACCTTTTATTGGGGGGAGGGGGAGCATATAATGGATAAGCAGAAATGTTCCCAGCTGGCACAAGTAGTTTGAAATCAGCTGCTAACCCACAGGTTGGCAGGTGGAATCCATACCTGCGGTGCTATGGTGATGTGATTCCAGAAAGGTTCAAAACCAAAACCACACCTACTGCCATCGAGCCAATCCCAATGCATAGCAACCATATACAGCATTTCTGACACTGCAAATCTTTATTGGAACAGAGAGCCTCATCTTTCTCCCACAGAGAAGCTGGTAGATTTGAACCTCCAGCCTTGAGGGTAGCAACCCAGTGCCTAACCCACAGCACTACCAGGGCTCCTTACATAAAGGTTACAACCACAGAAACCCTGTGGAATATTTCTACTCTGTCATACCTGGGGTCACCATGTGTTGGAATTGACTGGAATGGCAACAGGTCACAGATTCATATGAGTCTTCCTTAGCCAAGCAAGGGCGTCAGGATGCCCCCAGCTCAGTCAGGCAGCAAAATCTTGGGATTGTTCCCCCAAGAAGAGCACAACAGCAGAACTGAGGGTTCTGCCTTCTCTGCTGCCTTTCCAGCTGGCCCAGAAACACGACATGGTGGTAGTGTCTCCCATCCTGGAGCGGGATGCTGCACACGGGGACATCTTATGGAACACGGCTGTGGTGGTCTCCAACTCAGGCACTGTCCTGGGGAAAACGAGAAAGAACCACATCCCCAGAGTGGGTGACTTCAACGAGGTGAGTGGCCAGCCTTCTGGTGGCCAGCCCATTCGGTTTGTGAGGAGAGTTTCTGGTGGAATCCATCAAGTCACATGACACTGAAACTGCTCTCAGCACATCCCAGGACACTGCTTGGGCCCTCTTGAGTTCCAGCCTCCAGAGGTACGGTTACTGTTTTTAAGTTTCCCCCCATTTGACTTCATGAAAATTTTTGAAGTACCAGTCCATCAGTTGTCATCAAGGTGATTCTGACTCATGATGCCCTTGTGTGTGTCTGAGTAGAACTGTGCTCATAGGGTTTTCAGTAGCTGATTTTTCATAAGTAGCTTGCCAGACCTTTTTTATGAGGTACCTCTGGGTGGACTGAAACCTACAGCCTTTTGATGGACAGCCGAGAATGTTGACTGCACTACCCAGGACTTTGTTCTGATGCATGGCAAGTTTTCAGTGGCCGATTTTTCAGAAGTTGATTACCAAGCCTTTCCTCCAAAGTACCTCTGTGTAGACTTGAACCAGTAACCTTTTGGTGAGCAGCCAACAATATTAACTATTTGCACTACCCAGGGTCTCTCTTTGAATAAGTGGTATATAAATTAACCTAAGTAAATAGTGCACAGTGTAGTTTGACTCCTGTGGTTCAGGCTCTGAGCTCCTCATCTGCCCCTACTCCTTGCTTGGTGGGGGGTGTTCCTTGTCCCTAATGCTGTGGGCTCTGGCTGGTCCAGGTCCGAGTGTCAAGTGACAGTGTATAAGTAGGCTTGTCTCTGCAGGTGTGCCCCATGGGACTTTTCTTGCTCATTGTCTGGGTACCAATTGGGGTGGGGGCGTGCTGCTTGGTTAATGTGAATGTGTGGTTGGGTGGGATGGAAGGACATGCTAAGACTTAACTTGATTTATACCTTAGTTCTCACTTACCAACTACCTTGCTGAAGCACCAACTATTCCTCCCACAACCTCTTGACTTCTCAGTTAGGTTCGATAATCCATTGCAATGGCTACATAGAACTCAAAGACAATACTCACAGTTATTGGGTTTATTAGGGAAATCAACAGGTTATAATACTTTTTTTAATGTCACAGCTTTCTCCCCCTGGGTCGAAGAGGTTCAGTGTTCAGGGATCTTAGGGTCCAAAGGTACTCTCCTTGTTTGGCCCTTTCTTCTTAATGGTAGTAAGGTTCCTGCTCCTGCTTCTGAGATGGCTCACTTTATGCCCATGCTAGAGTTTCAAGTTTCTACAATGAACTCTGCTAACCTCCACAGCTGATTCATGCCATCCTATCAGGATCTCCTACCTTCTCTTACCCAGACCCAGCAGGGCAGAAATGTTGTTTGGTGGGAGTTACAGTCTATGGCTAGAAAAGACATTAGATAATTCACTACACCACACCATTATCTGATATTTCACATCCAAGACCATAGTAAAGAATCTACTTTCCAACATGTGTTTGAAAGTGACAAACAGCTGAGTTGTGAAACAAGAGAGGTGCTGGTTGTGAGGACTAAGGTTGTGTTTCAGCTTGACGTGATTCTCAGCCCTTTGGCTGTTATATAATGATGTAACTAACTTGGCAGTTATGTAATATGATTTGGCAGTTATGTAATGGTGCAATTTGGTGGTTGTGTGGTGATGTAGTTGTCCTCCGTTTGTGATATGAGTTAGTCAGCATCTATTTTCACATAATGCCAGTTTTTGAGGTATAACCTAGTCTTAGCACATAACCATTTTGATAAGTAAGGAGGGGGTATGCAGCTGTTCAGAGTGATAGTCCCGGTCCTGTGCCCCCATGGTTGTCTGAGGGCGGTACCTGGCCACTCTCGGGCTGGTCAGGCGACTGAGGGACAGTCTTAGGGAAAAGACAGAACCTTGTGTTTCCCTGGAGCAGCTGAAAGTAGGAGTAGATGATGGACCCCTCACTAGTTACCCTGAGTTCGTCTTTAGCCCCCCGGTGGAGCCAATCTTGTCACAGCTCAGTAAGGCTGCATGTCATCTTCATGTATACATCATGCATGGCCCAACTCCTGTGGGTTTCCAAAGGAATGGCGAGCCTGTGTAGGCACCCTGTGGGGGAACCCTGTGTGAGAACCCCAGCTTGCCCTCTACCTCTCCTCAGTGTCATCATAAAAATCCCTAGCCTTAGGAGCAGGCAGAGAGCAGGGATGGGAGGGCTTTGGCTCTGCTCCACTTCTCCTAAGCCACCTCTGCCCCCGCTACACGATGTCCTTCTGGGCGTGTGCCCAGAGCTGTGTGGGGCAGACATTCCTAGGGCGTGGATTTGAGTCTCTGATGTGGTTTTCTTAAGCCAGGCAGGTCTTGACCCTCTCACGCTCTGCCTTTCTCCTGGCCAGGGAGAGGGCTGCTCTGGGGAGACACTCTCCAGAGGGATGATGCCCAGGCCCCTGAACTGAAAGCCAACCTCTGCTTATCCTTGAAATAGTGTGGGGAGTTGCTGCAGTATTGTTTGACAGATCAGAAGCGAGATCTCAGCCATGCCAGTCTGCTTGGGGTTGGTGTGTTGTCACCAGCTCTGGGTTTCTTTTGTGGCCTTTAAAAAGCATATTGAAAATGTGGGTTTTGGAGTGACATCAAATCTAACCATGACACCCTTGGGGCACCAATGCAATTCATCTCCTTGTGCCAAGCCTGAGGAGAGGGAAGATCCATGCATAGAGCACCAAATGCCCAGTCTTTATTTTCTAGTCCACTTACTACATGGAGGGAAACCTGGGCCACCCCGTGTTCCAGACCCAGTTTGGGAGGATCGCAGTGAACATCTGTTATGGGCGACACCACCCCCTCAACTGGCTCATGTACAGTGTCAACGGGGCTGAGATCATCTTCAACCCATCAGCCACCATTGGAGCACTCAGGTCAGTATCCCAGCCATGGTGTAGGGGTGGGGCTGGGATATCCCAAGGCACGGGCAGGTGGGACCACGGAGTTTCTATGCCAAGTGTTCTGTGAAAAGAACACTCAAGACAGTTTGTTGTTATTCACACTCAGAGCACCACCCTCACAGTCATTGCTGTGTTTGAGCCCACTGTTGTAGCCTGTCAAGCCATCTCCTTGAGGGTCTTCCTCTTCATGAAGCCCTTCTCCATGGACTGACTGGTCCCTCCTGATGGCATGTCCAAAGTGCATGAAACAAAGTCTCATCATCCTTTAAGGAGCGATCCAGCTGTACTTCTTCCAAACTAGATTTGTTTGTTTTAATATTCTTCGCCAATACCACAATTCAAATGCATTAGTTCTTCTGTGGTTTTCCTTAGTCATTGCTCTGTTTTCGCTTGTATCTGAGGTTATTAAAAATACCATGGCTTAGGCCAGGTGCACCTGAGTCTTCAAACTGACATCTTTGCTCATAAACACTTTAAAGAGGTCTTTTGCAGCAGATTTGCCTAATGCAGTCTCTCATTTGATTTCTTGACTGCCACTTCCATGAACATTGATTGTGGGTCCAAGCAAAATTAAATCCTTGGCAGCTTCAGTCTTTTCTGTTTATCTTGATTACAAACCCTAAAGGAGTTGTTCCACTATATACCCGCAACCTTGGCTGCCTGTTGAATGTTGATGAGAAGACCCGATCCAACCCCCAGTTGTCAGGACTCACACAAAACAGTGCCCTCAAAGTGCTGAGATGAGTCTGTACTTGGCCCCGTGGCGCTCCTCTTCACCCAGGTGCCCCTGTTGGGTGAGGGAGATGAGGGAGTGGGAGCTGAGAGACCCCATGTCCATTTTCTAGGATTGCTGTGGCCAAATCCCACAAACAGCAGAAGGATGGAAGTTCTCCTTCTGAGTGTGGGCCGTGCTCTAGGATGGCTCTCTGCAAGAACCCATGTCAGGCCTTCCTCTGTCCTTCTGGTGCTACTGGCCCCCATGGCTTCCTTGCCTTGTGGACACATCCTGCACTCTCCCAACCTCTGTCATCGTCACATGATCGCCTTCCTTCTGAGTACCTCTTCTCTCCTCTGATAAGGACCCCAGTCCCAATGGATCTCATCATAAGTGCTTTTGGAACAGCCCTATTTCCAATTGAAATCACACCCACAAATACCAGAGTTTAAGACTTCAACATGTATGTTGTGGTTGTTAAGTGCTGTCGAGTCAGTTCTGATTCATAGCAACCCTGTATAGATAGGGTTTTCCAAGGAGCGACTGGTGAGTTTGAATTGCCGAACTTACAGTTTAAGCCGGCCTTGTGGTGCAGTGCCACGCCAAGATTCCTCAACATCTATAGATATTTGTTTGTTTTTTATTGGGAATTGGATAAAGGCTTACAGAGCAGATCATCAATTTTACATTTTGTTTCATGTCATTGATTGCAATCCTCTCAGTGTGTCTTCACTCATCCCACTTTCTCTGTGTTTCCTGTTTCCATTCCTCCTCGTTACCTACGCCTTCGAAACTTTGTCCTTGAGCCATGGGGTGAGTTCATTTCTGGACCTGAAGGGTGACTAAGAACTGCCATAGTCTCAGAGGTTCTACCAGTCTCTATCCAACCAGTCAGCCTGGTCATTTTTATAATGACCTCTACATTTTTCTTCCACTCTATCCAGGACCTTCTAATGTGATCCCTTTCAGAGAAGTTGGTCTTGGTAACTGGGTACCATCTAGCTCTTCTGGTCTCAGAGTCGTGGAGACTAATGTTTGGGGGGGGTACATTAGTCCATGGGACTAATTGTTTCCATGTGTCTTTAATTTTCTTTCCTCCAGACAGGAAGACACCAATTGTTGCACCCTAGTTGGCTGCTCATGAGCTTTGAAGGCCCCAGTCACTACTCACCAGTAGGATGTAGACCATTGTCTTTGGGGAGAGATGGAGGACACATTTTTGAGGACACAATCCAACCCCAAACTAGGTCCATAAAAGATTATAGTTAACTGGCTTGGAAACTTTTCTTTTTAAACCAGTGACAAATTTTCTTACTATAACACCTAATGACAAGTGTTTGAGAGTGGTGGTGGTCCGGCAGTAGAATCTTTACCTTCCATGAAGGAGACCCGGTTCCATTCCCAGCAGTAGCACCTCTTGTAAAGCCACCACCCGTCTGTCTATGGAGGTTCATATGTTGCTGTGATGTGGACTAAGTTTCAGCACAGCTTGCAAACTAAGATTAGGATGACAGTCCTGGTGATGGAAAGTCCTTCTGAAAATCAGCCAATGAAAACCCTCTGAGGTTTTAATAGTTGCATCCCATTTTACATGAGGCTGATTCCATGGGAGCTCACAATAATGGCAGTTAGGTGTTACCAGCCGCTCCTTGGAAACCCTATACCGGGTCACTATGAGTTGGAACTGACTCAATGGCACTTAATAACAACAAGTAATCCCTAAAAGGAGCCCTTGTGGCACAGTGGGTTAAGCATTGGCCTGCTAACAAAAAGGTCTTCAGTTTAAACCCACCAGCCGCTCCTTGAGAGAAAGATGAAGCTGTCTGCTCCAGTAAAGATTGCCAGCCTTGGAAGGGAGCAGTTCTGTCAATAAGAGTTGGAATTGATTCAAAGGCGGTGGGTTGGGTTTGGTCTGAATCCCTAATCAGCTGAAACTGCTCCTCTGACTGAAGTGGGGAGGAGGGGAAGGAGAGCACAGCAGGAAAGTCCCGTTTAACAAAGGTCTTCAGCTGAAATGAGCTCCCTAATGACTGGAGTTCTAGGAACTCAGCGCAGATGTTCTCTTGAGCAGCATCCTGGTTGCAGGTGGGGCTGGGGGTCAGGCCTCAGGCAAGGTCTGCTGGTCAGCTTAGGGACTCTCCATTTTCTCTTCTGCCCTTCTTTTGGTTAAATTTCAGTCATATTTCTACAAAATTTCAGAATGTGGAGACAGTTCCATTGGAACTTCCTTGAAGGTACAGCTCCCCTCTCTGCCCCAAGAGTGATCCCCCTCAGCACTCCTCTTACAGGGCTGAGACACAAACCCCAGTCTGTTCCCCCAGCCTGGCTGGTTCTTGATTCACTGCTCACAGAGGCCCTGCCTGGTCCCACTCCCTCTGGTTTTTATCAGCACCGGTTAATCAAACAGAAGCTCCGCACTGCAACACACACACCACTTATGTCCTCTGCAGCCTGTTAGGTTTTATTAAAATGATCGATATTCCTCCCTTGGCCAAGAATCACTTAACCCCGGGAGCAGAGTGCTTCATGGGCTATTACAGTGTTTCTGCCCACATGTCAGCTCAAGGAAATCACCTGAGAGAGGAGCAAAAGGCTGTGCATGAAGATGTTCACAGAAGCAATTCTGGCCTTCTCTTCTGTGGCATTAGGAAGAGATTAGAGAGCTCTGCATAATGTTATTGTTAGGTACTGTCAAGTTGGCTCCAACTCATGGCCAACCTCTGAAACACGCTGGGCCTGTGCCTTCCTCACAATCTTTGTTAAGTCCAAGCCTGCTGTTGCAGCCACTGGGGTGATCCATCCTCTTGGGTGTCTTCCTCTTTTTCACTAGCCCTCCACATTGCCAGGCATGATGTCCTTCTCCAGAGACTTCACCAGGACTTCTGACAACATGTCCAAAGTGTATGAGCTGAAGTCTTATCATCCTCGCTTCCTGGGAAACTTCTGGCTGTATTTCTTCCAAAACAAATTTGTCCATTTTCAATATTCTTCACCAACACCATAATTCAAAGGCATTCATTCTTCTCCGATCTTCTTTATTCATTGTGTAGCTTTCGAATGGACATAAGCCAACTGAAAATACCATGTCATGTGCACCTTAGTTCTCAAAGTGGCATTGTCACGTTTTGACACTTCAGTGAGGTCTCTTGCAATAGTTTGCCCAATGGTGTGGCACTGTGGGTTAATGCGCCAGACTGCAAAGCCGTTTGAACTGCAAAGTCGGCAGTTCAAGCTCAACAGCTGCTCCTTAGAAACCTATACAGGGTCACTATGGGTCGGAGCCGACTTGATGGCACTTAACAACAGCAACAATACATTGAAAGACTTACAAGCAGTTGAAAACCATATCAGTCTGTGGACCAGGATGGCCACAGAGTGGAAGGATTAGAATCCTGACTTATTAAAATGGTGGGCATCTGACTGATTGCCTTAAAATGCTTAAATGATGAATTCTGTGGAATCAGTGGCTGTTACGTCCAATACTGTGAGAGTCCCCACCAGTTGTACACACGTCTCAAATCACAGTTTCAGGAATCATCCATCCCTTCTCTGGCATCTCCTGTCCTCCCTCCCCTCATACACAGCACTGTGGATTGACGGGGCTATTATCATTTGATTGTGGCTCCCACAGTTCTAGGCATAGCTTTCTGGGTGGCGCAAATGGTTAAGTGCTCAACTACCAGGTTGGTAGTTTGAACCCATCCAGGGATACCTTGGAAGAAAGGCCTGGTTATCTGCTTCTAAAAGGTCACAGCATTGAACATCATTGAACTTCTCAATGAAAGGTGAGTCACTATGAGTCAGACCAAAGTGACACCAGCCAACAGCCTCAGTGCTTCTAGACACACCTGGAGTCTAAGCGTCTTTGGACAGATTGAGTGGGTCTGGCAGACCATGACTGATACGTGTCATGCCTTCTTAGCCCACATGGCTGGAGATCTGGCTGTCTGACATTAATTGAGAAGTTACCATCCTGACCTGGCCCCCACCCCCACATTAGCCTTCTCACTGTTTATTTTAGTGGTTATACTGGGAAGGTGGCGAACATGACCCTCCCACCAGATTCTGTGCTTCCCCGAACACGCAGGCTCTCACAGCATACATTTTCTCGCCAGCTGTGGGTTTCAATCCTACGCAGAGCACCCTCCCCAGAGGGTGCTGCAAGAAAGATGTTTGATGGCAATCCCCCGGTGGCTGTCGGTGTAACTCCTGAAAATGTCATTCACAGGCGTGTTTCTGTGCAAACCCTTTCTCAAAAGTTTTGTCAGCTTAGCAACCAGGTGGTGGGGGGAGTGTGTGTGGAGGGCAGCAGAATGAGGCCCCTCAATCAAGCCTGTGGGGTTTTTTGTGTTTTTTTTTTCCTTCCCCAGACTCTTGAATCCTCCTAAGAATTAGGCGGGTGACAGGCACCCAGCCCTCCACCTACTCCCCGGTTTAAACCAGGTGCACGTTGACAGGAAGGAAGGTTCCGGGGCGTTGTGCTCACCTCACTCAGCGTTTCTAAGCAGGCTATACATCTGTGATTGGGAATCTTAATGCTGTTGTTTCTCTGACAAGCGGGAACTCTGAGGAAAGGGTCTGGATGGAGGAAGGCCCCCAGCACAGCTGTGCCTTTCTAGGCTGCACCTGGCCAGTTAGGGAACCACAAAGCCCTGCCTCCAGTTTCGAGGTTCAGAAGAGAATGAGAAGGCATTGTTTACCATGAGTTAGAGCTTACTCCTGACAACGGGTTTGTTTGTTTTGTGTGGGGCCCCTACCTTATTTTCTCTGTTTCTAACTGCCCAAGTCTGCCCCCACTCCCACTGAGACAGTTCTGGGGAGCTGCCCAGCAGGGCAGGAAGGAGCTTACCATACAGGTGAGACTCGGCCTACCCCACACTAGGAGGGGGCAGTGAGGGTCCTCTGATGCCAGCCCCCTGTGTGAAACATGGTCATCCCTTCTTAACAATGTCTCTCAGAGGAAGTTTCAAAAAGGGAAATTGAGGTTCACTGCCAGGAATTGATCCAGGGCAGCCTGACTCTCTACTGGCAGTCCCCAACCTTGTAGTTTCTGCCTACAACAGAAATCCACTGCCAGCGAGTTAATTCGGACTCACATGGACCATGCAAGACAGAGTGGAACACTCCATAGGATTACTAAAGCTGTCAGTCTTTACAGAAGCAGACTGCCCCATCTTTTTCTGATGGAGCAGCTCTGGTGGGTTTGAACCACCGACCTTGAGGTTAGCAATCCGACACTTAACCTATGTGTCACCCTGAAAGGACCTCCTTGTGGGTTTGGGTGCCCCTGCCACAGGCCTGGGAGCTGACTGCAGTTGGGGTTGAGCGAAGAAGTCAGCAACAACCTGGTTCCTCATTCCTCTTTACAGTGAGTCCCTATGGCCCATCGAGGCCAGAAATGCAGCCATTGCAAATCACTGCTTCACCTGTGCCATCAACCGCGTCGGTGAGGTGAGTCCCTGGGGTCTGGCTGGGCCTCCTAGGCTTCATCCAGGTGTGCTGGGAGGGGATGGACACAGAAAGGAGCCTGGTGGGGACTATTCCACCTGTTGTCCCACATCCCCTTCTCTGGGTGCAGATCACAAACCCCGGGGGCCTGGCAGTCTTGGCCTATGTAATAAGGGGCAAATCCTACCTTAGTTGCCAACTGCATGCTGAGGAGTGGTGTCCATCCAGTCCCCGAGGTGTGGATTGGATTGATCCCATCCTCCCACTTCTCCATCCTCTGACCCCTGCCACCTGGAACTGGGTTACAGCTCACAAATTAAAGGACACCATTTGTCAGATCGCCGGCATGCACCTTTGGGAGTCCAAATGACATCCCAGCCTTCTCCCCTCCTGGCCCCAGATTCGGGGCTGGTTTCCCACTAGTTATTCAGGAAGCCAGCTGCAAGCTCAGTGGTCCATGCCACACCCTCACTCCCTGACCGCCTGGCTCCCACTGCCCCTTTGGGCTCCATCATTTGCTGGGATGACTCATAGAACTCATGGGGAGTGTCCCGTACTTACAGCTACAGATTGAGTACAACCACAAAGGATGCAAATGAAGAGACACACAGAGCGAGGCAGCACACACAGAGCGAGGCAGCCTCCAGAGCTCCAGGTCACAGGGCTGTGCCCATCAACCAGGAAGTGCTGAGGAGCAGTCTTGTCTTTCATTCTTGTTAATCAGATGTGGAGATCCAGCCCATCAGAGCATTGGATGGGGCCTGGAAGACAACCAGGGTCTCCACACTGAGTCTGTTTCATTTTGGGTGGGAGTAGCCAAGGCAAACCCAGCACAACTGATGGGCAGCTTCCATTTGGAGTGAGGGGCATGCTGCTCTCCCTGTCTGCTTGAGGCCAGAGACCCAGCCTGGAACTGCAGGACTGAGGCAGGCAAGCCCCTAGATGTCTTCTGAGAACTGGTCTGATCTTTTCTCCGAAGCCCATTGCCATCTGGTTGATTCTGACTCACAGCGACCCTGTAGGACAGAGTAGAACTGCTCCATAGGGTTTTCAGTGGCTGATTTTTTTTTGAAAGTAGATCATTAGGCATTTCTTTTAAGGCACATCTGGGAGGAGTAGAACCTCCAACCTTTTGGCTAACAGCTGAGCCTGTTAACTCTCTGCACCACCCAAGACCCTCATACACAAACCCATCATGCTTGGGTTGATTCTGACTCCTAACAGCCCTCCAGGACAGAGCAGAACTTTCCATAGAGTTTCCAAGGTGGTCAGTCTTTATACAGTAACAGTCAGCCACTTTCTCCCTTGGAGCAGCTGGTAGGTTTGAACCGCTAACCTTACAGTTAACAGCCCAGTGCTGAACCCACTGTGCCACCAGGGTGCCTTGTTTTTTCTTCCAGCAGATTATAATAACACCACAAAGGCAGAGTCAGTCTTGCCTTGCGTGTCAAATTCTGCAGCTCTCATCAGACCCTTAACAATTGCTTGCTGATGGCCCAGTGAATGCGCCTAGTTCCATCCCCTCCTTTCAACCAGCCAGGGCATTTGCGATACTGCCTGGGATAAAGCACTAGACAGCAAAGTTGGTCTGAACCACAAGGTCGGCAGTTCAAACACCAGCCACTCCTTGGAAACCCTATATAGGGGCACTAGGAGTCAGAACTGAGTCAACAGCACTTAACAACTTAACAACAATGACAACAGGCTTGTCTAAGGAGCCTTGTGACACAGTGGACTAAACTCCACTGGAAGGTTGGCGGTTTGAACCCATCATCTGCTTCCCAGGACAAAGATGAGGCAGTCTGCTTCCAACACTGTGAATGGCCTTGGAAACCCTAGGGAGCAGTTCTAGTCTGTCCTGTAGGGTAATTGAGCTGGAACCAACTCAGCAGCAGTGGGTTCAAGGTGTTTTTTGGTATAACCATGCTGTTGACTCCAACTTCTGGTGCAGCCTCCTATATCAGAGTAGAACTGTATGCCAGAGGGTTTCTGGTCACTGATTTTTTTCAGAAGCAGATCACCAGGGCTTTCTTTGAGGCACCTCTGGCCAGACCCAAACCTCCAACCTTCCACACTTCCATATGTTCACTGGGTTTGCACTCCAGAGAAAAAGAAAACCAAATGCCTGTTGCAGTCAATCGGTTCTGACTCACGGCGACCCCATGTGTTGCAGAGTAGAACTGCTCCATAGGGTGTTCTTGGCTATAATCTTCATAGAAACAGATTGCCAGCCCTTCCTTCTGTTGCCAGCAGAATGCAAACTGCTGACGCCTCTCAGGGACCCTTTCCAGACAGATGGATGATATGGATCCTGAGAGTTGGCATACCAGTTACTGTGGAGTTGCTTTGGAGTCAAGGTGCCCTGTGTGTCAGAGCTGTACTGCACGGGGTTTTCTGTGACTGAGTTTTGGAAAGTAGGTCTTTCTTCTGAAGTGCCCCCCGATGGACCTGAACCTTCAGCCCTTTGGTTTGTAGTGAAGTGTTCTTGTGTCTGCACCCTGCAGGGACTCTGTAGAGGTCTCTGACCTTGGTTCTCTGTCACAGGAGCACTTCCCCAATGAGTTTACCTCCGGAGATGGGAAGAAAGGTATGTTCCATGAGACCCTATGGCCAGGTTCCCCTTTCCCACCTGCCCGCCTGACACATAGGAGGAGGCCTGCTCTGCCTGGTATTTATGCAGCCACCATCGCTGACTGGGGCCTGTGGGGGTATGGTGATGGCAGGGAGGGTGGGCAGCCATTTGGAACTCCATCCTGAGCTCAAGACTGATGTGACAATGGGCCCAGGTGATTTGTGTGTGAAAGAGGGACTGGGGTTCCTGTCTAGCCTGCAGGAATGCCTAGAGTCTCCCTTCCTCTTGCCCTGTGTGCCCACCCCCATGCATGTGCCAAAATTGCCTGGGTTCCTGAAATCCTGGCTTGCTAAAATCTGAGGGCAGGTACCAGGTACTGCCTCACCTCTACCAGTGGTCCCCACCCCCTTGTCTAAGGCCAGGAAACAAGAAGGGCTGGGGCCCTGTCCCCAGAACCCACGCAGATGTGTGAGCCAGGCAAGGCTGACCCAGAAGCCTGAGTGCTTCCTGAAAGGGGGCTGGGTCCCCCGGATGCAGCCCCAGGCATGCAGAGCTTCCTGCAGAAGGAGCAGGAAGTGGGAGGGAGCCCCCTCCCCATGCCCTGTGGGCGAGGCTAAGTGCCAGGTTATCTGATGAGGTGCTGCTGGGGTCTCAGCTGGCAAGTGGGTGTAGCCTCCAGCCCCCTCTGTGGGGCCCCACTGACTAGGGTGAATGTCAGGAGTGAAGAACAGCACCTCCATAGGGTGGTCTCTGGAAGTCTCCAAGGGGCAGAGGGAGGGTGACCGGCAGTGAGCCGTCTTGCTGGGCCTTCAACCTGGGAGGGAGAAGGGCCCAGGCTTTAGCAGCACTGGGCAGTATGGGTGGCCACTCTGTCCCTGTGTCTGATGTCCACACGAGCTCATGGTGTTCTTCTTTGCTCCTCTAAAGCACATCAGAACTTTGGCTACTTCTATGGCTCCAGCTACGTGGCGGCTCCAGACAGCAGCCGGACTCCTGGGCTCTCCCGAAACCGGGACGGATTGCTGGTAGCCGAGCTTGACCTCAATCTGTGCAGGCAGATGAATGATGTCTGGAACTTCAAGGTGGGTCCCCCAGACAGCCTCTGGCTCCAGCTTGCTCTCAGGCTAGAAGCCCTGTTGCTGGGTACCCTCTACCCAATCAGGCCAGTGTCGGCTGCCTGGCAGCTTCAGCCCACGCATCTAAGGATATTATTAAAGGAGGCATTGTAGACTCTAAGGATGTACTAGATGAAACCAAACCCACTGATGTCAAGTCACTTCTGACACACAGCAACCCCGTGGAACAGAGTAACTGCTTCCTAGGGTTATTCAGAAGTTGTTAGGAGCCACTGAGTTGGTTCTGACAACTTATTCTGGACAACCTTATGTACAGACTGAAACACTGCCCAGTCACAACTGTTGCTACACTTGAGCCCATTGCTGCTGCCACTGTGCCAATCCATCTCATTGGGGGTCTTCCTCTTTTCTGCTGACCCTCCATGTGACCAAGCATGATGCCCTTCTCCAGGGACTGGTCCCTCCTGATAATACGTCAGAAATATGACAGGTGAAGCCTGGCCATCCTGGCTTCTCAGGAGCACTCTGGCTGTACTTCATACAACAGATTTATTGGAAGCAGATTGCTTTATCTTTCACCCATGGAGTGACTGGTAGGTTTGAACCACCAACTTTGTGGTTTAACCACAGCACCACCAGGACTACATGAAGGATACATACCCATTGCTGTCAGTCAATTCCCACTCATAGCAACCCTGTAGGATAGAGTAGAACTGCTCTTCAGGTTTTCTTTACTGTCAACCTGTACGGGAGCAGACTGCCTCATCTTTCTCCCACAGAACAGCTGGTGGATTTGAACCAGCTGTTGGATGTGCGGTTAGCAGCCAGGAGGCGGCTCGCATAAAGCCTCCTCTTACCTGATTGAATCCTGGTGCCTTCAGACAAATCAACCTCAACCTCATTTGTCTAGAGATGGACAAGCTCGGCTGCTCCAATGTGCTAACCCCATGGTCACTCCGCCCCTTATCTCAAAATGAATAAAAACATCTAGTTCTGTTTGTGACCAGGCCCCTCGGACCAGGCTCGGAAAAAGTGGGAAATGAGTCATGCAGAGAAGTGGAACCTCTGCCCAGCCATGGTCCTACCTCACTCCCACACCTCAACCAAGTCCTTCCTGCTCCCTGGGCCTCAGTGCTGACCCTGTGATGCCCAGGGAGAATGCAGGTGCCTGCCCTCACAAAATGGGGTCCCTGCAAGGGCCTATTGCTTGCTTGGCTCTTAGTTTGTTATTCTCAGGTGTGATTGAATTGGCTCCCATCCATAATGACAGAAATGCTGCTCAGTCCCGCGCCCTCCTCAGAATCATTCCTGTGTCTGATCCCATTGTTGTAGCCACTGTGTCAATCCATCTCACTGCGGGTCCTCTTCTTTTTCCCTAACCCTACACTTTACCAAGCACGATGTCTTTCTCCACGGATGGACATCCTGACTTCTAAGGAACATTGTAGCTGCACTTCTTTGAAGACAGATTTGCTTACTCTTTGCATAGTGTTTTCAATATTCTTCTCCAACACCATAACTCAAATGCATCAATCAATTCTGCTTCAGTTTACTGCCCAACTTTCACATGCATATGAGGCCACTGAAAATACCATGGCTTGGGTCAAACACACCTTTGTCCTCAAACTGATAACTTTGCTCTTGAACACTTTAAAGTACTCTTGTGCAACAGATTTACCTAATGCAATACGTTATTTGATTTCTTGACTGCCATTTCCATGAGTGTTGATTGTGGATCCAAGCGAAATGAAGTCTTTGACAACTTTAGTCTTTTCTCCATTTATCATGATGTTGCTTGTAGATCCAGTTGTGAGGGGGTTTTGTTTTCTTTATGTTGAATTGTACTCTGTAGTGAAGGCTGTATTCTTTGATCTTCATCATTAAGGGCTTCAAGTCCTCTTTGCTTCCAGCAGGTTGTATCATCTGCATAGCTCAGGTTGTTAGTGAGTCTATCTCCAATCCTGATGCCACATTCTTGTTCATATAGTCCGGTTTCTTAGGTTATTTGCTCAGCATACAGATGGTGAAAGGATACAGCCCTAACATACACTGTTCTTGATTTTAAACCATTCAGTATCCCCTTGTTGTATGCTTCTTGGTCTAGGTACAAATTCTGCATGAGCACAATGACATGTTCTAGAATCCCCATTCTTTGCAATGTTAGTAGCTGGTGGTGTTTCCACTGGACACTACCCATCTGTCACTGGAGGCTTATATGCTTAACAGGTTTTAAAGGAGCTTCCAGACAACAACAACATAGCACCGTTGACACACAGAGATCACACATGCAGGTGAAGGTAACCAGAAGGAATGAGGGTTTCGGATCAGTCAGACATGGGCTCCAGGCCCACCTCTCCATCCTGAGCTTCAGTCCTCAGACATGTTCCTGATTCTCAGATGCCAGACAAATAAGGCACCATTGGGTGAAAGTTTCCTGCCCCGCTCCTTCCCTTCCCGGGCCACACACATTCACTCAGGATTCCGCATATACCTGAAATTAGAACCAAGAACACTGGCCAATTCTTTTTTTGACTTTTTATTGTAACTTGGGCCAAGGTTTACAGAGCAGATCAGTTTTCCATTCAACAGTTCTGACACATTTTGTTCTCCACAGTACAATAAACCTGTACTTCCAATTTCCATTCATCCTCCTTTCCTATCATCCCTTCCTGCCTTCTGAGCTTTGTCCTTGGCCAAACACACATATCAAAAAAGAATCAAGGCCAACATCTCCCAGTGTTAGAAAAAAGGCAGAAAAAAAAAAAAAAAATCCTGTCGCTGAAGAAAAGAAATAATACAGATTTGAGTAGAAATCAATGAAACAGAGAAACAAGAGAAAGAATCAACAAGACAAGAAGTTGGTTCTCTGAAAGGATTAATAAAACCAACAAACCAATGGAAAATCTAACAAAGGAAAGGAGAAGAGGTAAATAACACGAAAAAAGAAATCAAATGGGCGACGTCACAATAGAACTAACTGAAATAAAAAGGATAATAACAGAACAGTCTGAAGTACTGTATTCCAACAAATTTGAAAAGGGGACACATTTCTAAAACACACTACCTTCACAATCTAAGGTTAAAAATTTGAACATACACATCACGAAAGAAGAAATTGAACAGGTTATAAAATTTTTTTAATTAAAAAACTTCCAACAACAACAAAAGACTGCTTCACTGGCAAATTCTCCTAAACATTCAGAGCTGACATCAATTCTATTCAGATGATTCCAGAACATAGAAATGGCCCGTTCTTTTAAGAAAGCAGTGTCACCTTGATATTCTAAGACTCTGGGTGGTGTAAGCAGTGAAGCCCTTGACTGGTAACTGAAAGGGTGAATGTTCACACCTCTCCAAGGGTGCCTCAGAAGTGAGACCTGGTGATCTGCTTCTGAAAGCTCCTGGCCTTGGGTTCTTGGAGCACAGTTTTACTCTGTACATGTTGCGTCAAAATTGACTCAATGGTAACTGGGTTTGGGGTTTGTTTGTTTTTTTCAAATCACCATGGGCAATAAACAATGTTTCTCAATGGAAACTTTAAAAACGGAAGAGTTCCCAAGCTGTGATGATGACCCAGCTCAGGTCCAGAGAATACAGGGGAACTCCCTGAGTGGGTTCTCCACACCTCCCAACTCTGTGTCGCTGAGAAAATGCCATTCACAGACTTGGGTTCAACGTCTGCTCTCCTGCTGGTAACCTGGTCACTGCCCTTGCTGGGGGGTCTGTGGACAGATACCATGCCTTCCCAATGGGAGGGTTACAGAGGTCTCCCAGCAGCCTAGTTTCATGAGTGGGTGAGTCATTTTGGCCACAGCAGTGGAACCAAAAGTGACACATGGGTTGTTTTTGCTGTTGGTTTCTGCATGTGTCTGGTCAACCAGCCTCCCCATGAATTTGTGTCCCACTGCTGCCCTCCAGTGGCAAGAGGTGGTAGTGAGCCAATGAGAATGCAGTTTTGAAACTAAAACTTGGCACGTGTATGGCGTCCTGATGTGGCACTGTAGGATGAGCACTGGACTGCTAAACACAAGGTCAGTGGTTGAGATCCACCAGCTGCTCTTCAGAAACTGTATGAGGGGTCACTATGAGTCGAAAATGACACTTAACAACCATAGCGTTTTCAGTGACTGGTTTTTAGGAAACAGATCGCTAAGCCTTTCTTCAAGTTGGTTCTAGGCAGACTTGACCAGCCTTTCAGTTAGCAGCCAAGTGCTTAGCCATGTAGTCACCCAGAGACTCTTGTTTATAAGAGCAAACCAAACAAACAAACCAACTGTCATCAAACTGTCCCATAGGGTTCCTGAGATTGGCAATCTTTATGAGAGCAGACTGCCTCATCTTTCTTCCGAAGAGCAGCTTGTGGGTTTGACCCACTTTATGCCCAATGCTTAGCTCACCATGCCGCCAGGGTTCTTTCCAAGCAAAGTACGTTTTTCTATAACCACCTGAGCTTTGCCAATGGTGTGACACCCAGCTCTGCTCCTTGCAAACAGATTAAAGAAGGGAACATTCTCCTGAGATACAGGACATCCTGGCAGAGACCCCAGAAGATGATTTGAACTTGCTACCAGGATGGTTTCTAGAAGCACAAAGAAAACTACTGGCCCACCCAAGCCAAACTCACTGCTGTTAAGTTGATTCTGACTCACAATCACACTATAAGGACAAACTAGAAGTAGATTTTCTGAGACTATAAATTTTTACAGAAGCAGACTGTCTCATCTTTCTCCCATGAAGTGGTTGGTGGGTTTGAACTGCTGTACTTGTCCAATACTCCTAGGAATCTCTAAAGCATTGACTGTGTTTTACTTTCAGATGACAGGCAGGTATGAGATGTATGCTCGGGAGCTTGCCGAAGCAGTCAAGCCCAACTACAGCCCCAATATCGTGCGAGAGTTGCTGACCTATAGCTCCAGTTCACCCAGGAAGGATGCCTCTGCCGCAGATTAACAAGTGAGAGAAGTTCTCCTTGAAAACGGTGCTGTCCGATTGGGTTCAACATGCCCAGATTGGGGAACAACTGTTTAATGGGTATGGGGTTTATTTTGGACATGTTTGGGAACTAGATGGAGCTGATAGTTGCACAACATTGCAAAGGTATGAAATGCTACTAAAATGTACACTTTAAATGGTTAATTTTGTGTTACATGAATTTCACCATAATTTTAAAATACTATACTTTTAATTCTGTACAAACTCTTTGTACAGAAACAAAATGTATGATTTGTTAAATGTAAAACTGATTATCGTCTCTGTAAACCTTCACTAAATTCACAATAAAAAGTTAAATAAATAGATAAATCGTGGAGAAAAAAAAAGAACTATCCAGCCGCTGCGTTTGCAGGTTGATTTGGGCAGACAGTTGACAATGTGTGAGTCAGTCCCTGGCCTAAGATAGCTCACTGTTGGCTCCTTGAGGGTCACGTGGGGCTCTGGGCCCAAGCAGAGAAAGCATGAGGCTACCAGGTGGTATAGGCAGGTGGGACTGTCATCTTGGCTTGGCTACAGCCCCTAGTCATCCAAATACTAACCATGATGGGTAAGATATGTGTCAGCTTAGCGAGACCATGATTCTCAGAATGATGTAGTTATCTCACAAGGTGGTGTGGTTATCCAATATTCTGTGAGATAAGACAACCACTTCCATAGTGAGATTGGATGTGATCAGCCAGTCACTTGTACAGGGGGGTTTCTCCAGGGATGTAGCCTACATCCAATGTATGTAAACACTTTGGCAAAGTCCGCTGCCTTTTTTGCTCATTCTGGATCTTGCATCCGAGTCATCATCTGACCTCTGGTTCTTGAGACTGAAGCCTGCAGCTTGCCGTCTTAACTGCCGATTTTAGGACTGGTTATCCTCCACAGCCTGGGAACCATTAGCCTGGTATCTGAGCTGCCCATCTTGGATCCATCAGTCCCTGCTCCATGTGTCAGGAGA